ATTCTATTCTATTCTATTCTATTCTATTCTATTCTATTCTATTCTATCTTCTCTCTCCCTCTCCCATCTATATCTACCTACCTACCTTGGCATGCCACCCATCGTGCTAAAGCGACTCTCGGTCAGGGGTCACCGACCTTTTGGACCTCAGGGACCACCAAACTCATAATTTTAAATCCCGTGGACCACTAATATGGATTTTGAGTGACGGTGGCTTGCTGACGTTGGTGGGAGAGAAGGAGAGAGAGAGAGAGATCTGATCTAACCTCGGAGGGCTGGCTGTGATGTTCTCTCTCTCTCTCTCTCTCTCTCTCTCTCTCTCTCTCTCTCCACACACACACACACATGAGTCTAGGTGACTTACAGACAGGAAATAAAACAATGAAGGTCTTAAATTTTAAAAAAAAACTGATTAAGAGCAGGAGGGAGAAAGGAGAGAGAGAGAGGCTAGTTGGCATCGCCTTGTCTTCAAGGCCTTTCGGAAGGCCAAAGGGTGGGAGCGGATTTGGGCTTTTGGGTTGCTTCGTTTTAGATCAAGGGTGGTCAAAACTGGCCGTGGGGTTTCAAATCGGCCCTTAGAAGGGGGATCCTTGCTCCTCCCTGTGATCTCGGTGCTTCTCGGTGGCAGGGATAGAAATGCGCACGCAGACTCACGAGCACAGCTGAACCCAGAATTCCCGTCGCTCAGCAAGATGGTTGTTCGGTGAGCTTTGCCCCACTTTACGACCTTTTCTTGCTGTGGCTGTTAAATGAATCCCAGCAGGTAATGAGTTGGCAGCACAAATTGTTATGGGGATCTGCCTTTCCCCCCCCCCCCCATGGACGCTGCTTGTCAGAAGGTCGCGAAAGGGGGATCGCGTGACCATTGCCACCGTCATAAGTGTGAGCCAGTGGCCAAGCTCCCCAGTGTAAATCATGTGACCAAGGGGGATGCGGCAACAGCCGTCTGTCCGAAAAAATAGGTTGCCAGTCAGTTTTTGGGGGGCACCGTCATAACTTGGGACGGTCTCTAAAGAAACGGCGGTCAGTTTGGAAGAGGTCCTGTCGAGTCTTTCCTCCCCCTCCCCCACACCCGACGCCCTCCCTTTGTCAATGCATAAAACATTTCTCTGGTCTTTTTAGAGTTGCCAAAAGAAAGGGAGGGGGGAGCAGTGCGGCAGCTTGGAAATCGAAAGTGCATTCCATAAATGTTTTTCAAAGATAGTAACTAGGTGACCGAAGTTTCTGCCCCACAAATATCTAACTGGAGAGCCTGACTGAGGACTCTTGGCTAGGGATGTGTCCCATTGGAGGATATGAATTAGGATACACCCAGGGGGTGGGGGGAAAACCAGGGTCAAGGGTGACAGTGAATGATGTGTCTCAGAGTCGGCTCCACCCAGGCAGTGCCGGCATGTTAACTCCCAATAAATAATTTTGAAGTTTTGGAAGTTTGGCTCGAGGTTCATGATTTAAACGGGGGGTTAAGTGCCGGAATCCTGATTCTTATTTTGGTTGGCTTGCAAATTAAGTGTGGCAGGAAGATCTGGAGCCTGGCAGGAGTCGGTGAACGTACTAACTAAACAAGGCATTTGCAGGCAGTTTCCTTAACGAGAATTTAAAAGCCACAAGCAGTTCAGTCGTGGCTTTTAATGGGCTCCACTTACGACCACAATTGAGCCCAAAAGTTTCTGTTCTTAAGCGAGACATTTGTCAAGAGAGGTTTGCCCCATTTTAGGCAAGGGAGGGGGGGAAAGGGGTTCGAAAGAGCAGTGGGGCAGCTTGCAAACCGAAAGTGCATTCCATCAATAGTTTTTCAAAGATAGTAACTAGGGGACTGAAGTTTCTGCTGTGCAAAATTCTACCTGGGGAGCCTGATTGATGACTCTGAGCTATGGAGGTTTCCCATTGGAGGATATGAATTACGATACACCCAGAGGGTGGGGTGGGGGGGGAAACCAGGGCCAAGGGTGACAGTGAATGACGTGTCTCAGAGTCGGCTCCATCCAGGCATTGCCAGACATTTTAATGCCTAATAAATCTTCTTTTTAAGTTTCGGAAGTTTGGCTTGAGACTCGTGATTTAAATGGGGGTAACGGCCGGAGCCCTGACACCCTTTTTCGATCCCCCTGCAGATCATCACCCTGGTGCTGGGCCTCGTCATCCTCATCGTCTCGTTCGTGGCCACCTACTTCATCAACGCCAAAGCCCACGTGCTTTTTTCCACGCCGGGGGACTCCGAAACAGTGGCCTACTGACCGACCTGCGCCCGGGGACTCTGCAGCGCTACGAACCAAGGAATTGGGCATGAATTGGGCCCTTTCTTTGACCACCGTGGAGTGTGTGTGGGGGGGG